ATCACAGCTGGCTGGCCTCCTGCAATGGTAGGCGTAAAATTTTGGACAGGTCTGCGTCCAGCTATGATCCATAAGTGTGCAACTTAGGTGGTGTAGTTCTGGGGTTGGAAATAACTTCCTCCACAGGGTAAAGCCTGGCCTCTTTTCTTACCCCTAAGGCCTCTGGAACTTACTTTGTAAGCCCTGCCCGCATGTCATGTGGCTGCACAGTGATAGGTCATGCTGAAGCGACAACCTTCTGGAGGCAGTCAGTGCATAACCGATTCCTTCCACTGTAAGAATCAGACACCTGACAAATAATAATAACTAAATATTACCTGTGGTAAAGTATTAAGAAAAAATGTGCACTGTTAAATTCTATAAGAAACCAGCGAAACAGCTTTAAAACAGGCTGAAGACAGCACTTATCCCTGTCTGGAGACCCTGCAAATACTTACCCAATAAGTGTATGTTTACTGTAATTTTCCCTTTATTTTAGGCACTTTCTGGCAATTGCCCTTATCCAAGATGGCTGCCACAACTTGTATTCCCACAATGCAAGTCCTCTGTATTAGGCCCAATAAGGCACAAACTGCACACATGTGGGCCTATTCTGAGTGTGTTTGCTGTTAGAGACCAGGGAGAGGACTCTGTCTGAAGCCTACATGGCCCCTAAACACCCAGGAATAAATCACTGGGACCGAGGGGAAGCAACATAGATAACAAAAGTGCCTGCAAGGAAGTTTAAAAGGAAACCAGGAGCAAAAAAATCAATTTTAAAGGCACCACAGTCTAAAGGCCGCAAGGTATAAAAGGTAACACAGTTTCCAAAATGTATCACAGTTTCCAAAATGTATCACAGTTTCCAAAATGTATCACAGTTTCCAAAATGTATCACAGTTTCCAAAATGTATCACAGTTTCCAAAATGTATCACAGTTTCCAAAATGTATCACAGTTTTCAAACAAACTGCAGTCTTCAAAAGCACTGCAGTCTTCAATGACTTGCGGTATTACATGCAACTTTAAATGAAAACAGTTTTAAATGCAACACAGCTTAAATGCTTCCTAGTAAAAGCACAACCGCATTATGTACCACAATCTTAAAAATAAGGTACAGCTGTATAATGCACTAGTTTAACCTCTTAAGGACACCTGACATGTGTGACATGTCATGGTTCCCTTTTATTCCACAAGTTTGGTCCTTAAGGGGTTAAAGATATCAAAGCTTAAATGCATCACAGCATAAAAGCACAACTGCATAATGTACTACAGTAAAACAGAAAATAAAGTAATGAAGATAAAACATACATGTCCGTAAGTAAAGGGAGCAAATTGCTCACGTCCTAAGGGCTGTAGTACAGGAAAAAGACTGAGGACCTTAGGGATGGAGCCTCCTTTTAAAACCTTGGTGGTTTTCCTGTCCTATCGGCTGTAGGGGAGGAGCTAACCCATGTGTATATGCTGCCATGATTAGCCAGGAAATGTGTGTATATATATACGTATGTGTATATATATGTATATATCTATATAATTTTTTTAAAATATTTTTATTTATATATAGGTATATATATAGTGATATATACGTATATATTTATGTGTATAAATATATATATTATTTCGTTCTATGTGTATTTTGATATATATATATATATATATATATTAATTTCACAATACAGTTAGAACGAAATAACACACATCTATATATTTTTAATTATTTATTTTTAATTATTTTTATAATTTTATTTTTTAACGTATTTACATTTTAATTTTTTTTATAATATATATAAATATATATATAACAATAATTATATATATATTTAATCAGTATCAGTCTACGTGTAATTTGATATTAATATATATATATAATTATATATATATTAATAGTAAAATACACCTAGACGGTGTACATGTGTGTGTATGTATATGTGTATATATATACTTTGATCATATATATATAATATATATATATGATCTAAGTATATATAATTTTATTTTTTTACACTTTTAACTTATTTTACTTTTATTTTCAGCCAGCAGGGGGACCCCCTGTAATTACAGGTAGCCCCCCTGCTGGCAATACAGAAGCCAGCTATACCCGGCCATGTGATTGTGGGGTCCTCGCTAGGACCCCACTCTCACACGGCCGGGGGGCTTCCTGGAGGACGGTCGTGCCGCGGGGGGCTCCCTGGGAGTCCCCCTCACCGCGATCGCCGGCGTGGGACCGCCGGCGACCGGGTAAGTACAGAAAGACCGGAGGGCGTACTATTACGCCCGGCGGCGTTTAGAGCCGCCTATTAGAGGACGTAATAGTACGCCCTGCGGTCTTAAGGGGTTAATAAAATCATGACTTTACGTCATGGTAATAGTAAAATCTGTGAATTTTCTGTCTTTGAACTTGCAGGGTTATTCACTTAAGTGAGATTTCAAGATGAATTTAAAGTGAATTTCAAATTTAAGGTCAAAATAACCACACTGGAGAAATTATCTGAATTAGCTACACTTTCATTTTGCTACTTTGGCCTTAAATATGACAAAAATGGGAGGACTAACATACACTTGTTTGTAACCAAACAAGTTGGACACACACAGGAACATAGGGATTGATGGCCCTGCTCAGTGAGCCTACATGCTAGGGGGAGTTGGGTGTAGTGACACAAAAGGTAAGGGTAGGGTATAAAAATAGGTTGCTAGAATAGTATTTACTAAGGGCTTAGTGTTTTGTATGTTTTATTTTTTTTAAATGACAGTTGCAGGAGAGGAATTAAGGTACAGGGAGAGGAAAGCTATTAACAGTTTAATTGATCATCTTTCTTGAAGAAGTGAGTTTTAGAATGATTTTTTGAAGGAATGGAGACTGAGTGGGAGTCTAATGGAGAAATGAAGGGAGTTCCACTGGACCAGTGCAGTCCTAGAGACGTTTTGAAGGTGAGCATCAGAGGTGGGAGTATGAACAGAGGATGGATGTAGGTCTTTGGCAGAGCATAGGGGACTTGACAGGACAAACTTGTGCATTAGGGAGGATAGGTAGGTAGAAGCATCGTTATTTAGAGATTTGAAAGCAAGTACCAGAATGTTAAATTGAGCCCTATATCTTATGGGAAGCCAATAAAGGAACTAATAGAGGGAAGACTTGGGAGGTGAGGAAAGACAGGAAGATGAGTCTCGCCACTGCATTCATAATAGACTGAGCAAGCTGGGAACACGTAAGACCACTGAGAAGCAAATTGCAGTAGTCAAGGAGAGAGAGGATAGTGACATGGACCAGAACCTTAAGCCAAGTTTGGCTTAAATAGGGGCAGATGCGGGCAATGTTTTTCAGATAGAAGCAGCAGAAATTGGCGATCGACTGGACATGAGGGGTGAAGTAGAGGTTGGAGTTGAAGAGAACACCTAGGCAGCGAGCCTGTGAGATAGAACTGATGGTAGCACCTGTGACTTGTTGGGAAACAGACACGGGAGTAGCAACACTTAAAGGACCACTATAGGCACCCAGACCACTTCAGTTCAATGAAGTGGTCTGGGTGCCAGGTCCATCTAGGGTTAACCCTGCAGCTGTAAACATTGCAGTTTCAGAGAAACTGCTATGTTTACATTAGGGTTAATCCAGCCTCTAGTGACTATCTCATTGCCACCTGCAAGAGGTGCTTCCGCGCTTCTCACTGTGCTGCCGTCCATAGGAAAGCATTGAGAAATGCTTTCCTATGGACTGATTGAATGCGCGTGTGGCTCTTGCCGCGCATGCGCATTTGGCGGATGACGTCGGAAGAGGGAGGAAAGTCCCCAGGGCCGAGGGAGCCCGGCGCTGGAGAAAGATAAATGTTTAACTCCTTAACCCCTCTAGAGCGTGGTGGGAGGGGGACCCTGAGGGTGGGGGTACCTATTAATACTATAGTGCCAGGAAAACGAGTTTGTTTTCCTGGCACTATAGTGGTCCTTTAAAGGACCACTATAGGCACCCAGACCACTTCAGCTTAATGAAGTGGTATGGGTGCCAGGTCCAGATAGGATTAACCCTTTTTTTTTATAAACATAGCAGTTTCAGAGAAACTGCTATGTTTACACTGAGGGTTAATCCAGCCTCTAAAGCCTCTAGTGGCTGTCTCATTGACAGCCGCTAGAGGCGCTTGCGCCAGCGTCCATAGGAAAGCATTATGAATGCTTTCCTATGAGACTGGCTGAATGCGCGCGCAGCTCCTGCCGCGCATGCGCATTCAGCCGATGACGTCGCTAGGAAGAAGGAGAGGAGGAGGAAAGCTCCCTGCCCGGCGCTTAAGAAAGGTAAGTGTTTAACCCCTTCCTCTCCCCAGAGGGGCACCCTCAGGGCACCATAGCGCCAGGAAAACGAGTTTGTTTTCCTGGCACTATAGTGGTCCTTTAAGAGAGGAAAGACCACAAGTTCTGTTTTAGACAAGTTGAGTTTTAAGAGAGTGAGCAGTCATCTAGACAGAAATAGCAGAGAGGCAGTCAACGACACAGTGTTATCCGCTTAGAAAGTACACGTTTGTCATATAAGTACATATATGATTTGTAATGAAATATTAACCGTAGTTGGGATGTACATGGAGCACACAGTAATAATTGTGTTGTGGTTAGACACCATGTGAATAATGTGACAGTGTGTGTTTATTGGCAAGCTTGATGGATGATGTGTGAAATCCACAATAAATCCAGCAGGGTTGGCCATGCATAGTGCTTAATGATGGAGGGGAGCAGGCTGGGCGGTGTGAGCAGTGATGGGATGGGATGTTGTGGAGTGTTGTGATGGAGGCGGGCTGTGCTGTGCTGGGATGGGATGGGAGCAGGCTGTGCTGGGATGGGAGCGGGCTGGGTTGAGATGGGATGGGATGGGAGGCTGTGTTGTAATGGAGGCGGGCTGTGATGGGATGGGATGGGAGCAGGCTGTGTTGTGATGGAGGCTGTGTTGTGATGGAGGCGGGCTGGGATGGGATGGGATGGGATGGGATGGGATGGGATGGGAGCAGGCTGTGTTGTGATGGAGGCTGGGTTGAGATGGAGGCGGGCGGGCGGCCGCCATGTTCCCGCCCCCCCGTGCTGGCTGTGGTCGCAGTGCGGAGTTCCCTTCCGGGCCGCAGCATCCTCCTCCTCTGGCGGCATGTCTGACCGAGATCTCTCCGCTGCGGTGTCCTCGGAGGCGGCTGGCGGGAGCCAGGGGAGGCCGAAGCTGCGGCGATGTATCCCGGCCGGGCTGACGGTGGAGCCGGTGCTGTTCCTGTCCATGTTCGCCATGGCACTGCAGGGGCCGCTGGTCACACAGTATATATGGGACCGGGTCAGCGCCGACCTCGGCTTCAATGGCACCAAACAGCAGGGCTGCGGCCACCTGAACGGAACCACCGACCCACTGCAACAGGTAAGGGAACTGGGTGACATCATACATGGAGAATCACATACATCATACATGGAGAATAACATACATCATACATGGAGAATAACATACATCATACATGGAGAATCGCATACATCATACATGGAGAATCGCATACATCATACATGGAGAATCACATACATCATACATGGAGAATAGCAAACATACATCATACATGGAGAATAACATACATCATACATGGAGAATAACATACATCATACATGGAGAATAACATACATCATACATGGAGAATAACATACATCATACATGGAGAATAACATACATCATACATGGAGAATAACATACATCATACATGGAGAATCGCATACATCATACATGGAGAATCGCATACATCATACATGGAGAATAACATACATCATACATGGAGAATAACATACATCATACATGGAGAATAACATACATCATACATGGAGAATAACATACATCATACATGGAGAATAGCATACATCATACATGGAGAATAGCATACATCATACATGGAGAATAGCATACATCATACATGGAGAATAGCATACATCATACATGGAGAATAGCATACATCATACATGGAGAATAGCATACATCATACATGGAGAATAACATACATCATACATGGAGAATAACATACATCATACATGGAGAATAACATACATCATACATGGAGAATCACATACATCATACATGGAGAATCACATACATCATACATGGAGAATAGCTAACATACATGGAGCGTGTGTATTGTTATACATGGCGAGACAGGGAGGGATTGTGTTTATTGTTATTATAATGGCTGTACACAGCTGGCTCAGGTGGGCGGGGGTTTTCCTCAGTGAAGGCAGGTTACACACCATGTGCTGTGACAAAGGAGAGAGCAAGGAGTACACCGACATCTCAGGGGCCACACATGTAATGAGCATGGGGTACACCGACATCTCAGGGGCCAGACATGTAGAGAGCATGGGGTACACCGACATCTCAGGGGCCAGACATGTAGAGAGCAAGGGGTACACCGACATCTCAGGGGCCAGACATGTAGAGAGCAAGGGGTACACCGACATCTCAGGGGCCAGACATGTAGAGTGCAAGTCTTCCGCATCGCCAGCCAATGAGGCGCTACCTTGCAACCATGCGTTACCCTTCTCTGTGAGTCCCCACATACTGGGCTGACTGCCTGAGAGTGATAGGAATGTGATTGTTGTTAGCAATCATACATCTATCATTAACAGCCGTGTGCATACTGGGATCCCAGCATGCTGGCTGCTTGAGAGTGATAGGAGTGTGATTGGTTTCAGCATGTTCAGTTAATGCCAGATTTGTGTAGAAATTTTTTATTTTATTTTTTTTAAACTTTAAAAGTAAAGAATATCAGCACTGGTTATCGGCAACAGGCCTGAAAGGCGACTGATAATCTGTATTGGCATCAGCTCTGGAAAAATATTGGTTGATCCCTAGTTGCCATCACTAAAGACAAGTTGCACATAACTGAATAAGTGAGGTTTTTTTTATTTTATTTTTTTTAGACTTTATGGGTCAGTTTGGTTTTTATCTGCTGTAACAATCTGTGGTTCTATAATCTCACATTGGTAACACATCCTGAGGGTGCTATTCAAATACTCAACTTCTGGATAACACATATTAAGTGCACTTAATTATTCTGCAAACCTGTAATTTATCTTGCTTGCAATAACGCTAGTGAACAAAAGAATGCCTGTGGGGTTGCCTGTTTTGAAGTGATTGAAAATCTTTATTTATGGAATTTTTTTCCCCATTAGGTTTATGAACAAAATAAAGATACACTAGTATACTAATACAAGTTGCAAGAAATAGATGAAACAAGATCAATGGTCAGGAGGGTAAACAGTTTTAGCATATTACAAAGATAAGAGTAATATAAGTGCCCTCCTATTGCTGAGACCGCCCTAACTTCACCCATTAAACCGAGCTTCCATGCTTGAGAAACATAGTTGTTTACGATCTCTTTAGCATGGGCACGACAAGGACTACTATGTATGGCAAGTCCACACTCTGTGGTAACCATTCACAGGGATGAACTGCCATTTCAGCACTCGAGCAAGTGCAGGCGCTAGTGCAGAGGACGACAGAAGAGAAAGATATGAGGGGACTAATAACCCACTTATTAAACATGTTATGTAGCGCTACGAGATCTTCTGTTTCCTGTCCAAGTAGCTCCCCATTTGCCTTTTCCCACGTATTCACCCTCACCTATGTTTATGTTGGCCCCACACAGACCCATTGTTTCCTCTAGCACAGCCCCAGGAGACGCTCCCCAGCACTACTCCACACCCAGTGCCGCTCCGAACCTGAACGAGAGATAATATATCCTGGGCCTCCATAGTACAATTTTTATTTTATTTTTCTTCTGTAGTCCAGGGTAGTCGCACAGAAAATAAGAATTTGCACTTTAGTAACATTTAACCACAAATGAAGAAGTGTGATAACTATACTTTTAAATTTGGCATAATGTCAAAGGAACTAGACAGTTTGGTTTTAGTCTCGTATCTTATGAGCATCTGTGCTTTATTCATATGTCATGCTAGTATTTTCTAATTATATTGTAATCTGGTGATGTTTAATCAAACTGTGATTTGAGTCCATGTTTAGCTGTACCTCACAGCATATTTCACATTTTTATCTGTTAATTTTTGTTCCATATGGTGAAGGAATCTAATTAAACAAATTTGAAATGATATGTTCCCATCAAAGTATCCACACAATGCTATATTCACACAAACGTACAAGAATAACATTTGGACGTTATTTTTCTGCTAAATAGCTATGAAGTGTGTGAGGCATGGTGGCCTGTTACTTTGTGCATGAACATCGGATTCAGTTCAGTTCTGGTTGAAACATGGGACCATGTCCATTCATTATACCACAAAACAGAGACCCATTTCGATCTTTTCACGCGTTGTTCTGGCAATACCCTGCTCCTACTGCTGTTTATTCTGATGAGTAATTTATTCCTTAAATGGACACGATAGACACCCAGACTACTTCATCTCATTGAAGTGGTCTGGGTGCAATGACCCTGTACTTTTAGAGGCACTTTCTATATTTACAGAGTTTAACGCTGTGAAAAGACACTGAATGTCCTCAAAATCCCCATATGATTTTACTTTCATTTTCTCCATCATCACGCTGGTCTTGCCGAGACTGGCCCCACCTACATGGCAGAGATCATCTGTTTTGGCAATCCCAGCAAATCCAATGCTTTCCCATAGGAAATCATTTGGAGGCTATTGTGCAGTTGGCTTTGTTCCACGCAGCAGCAGAGCAGACTTGGCTGTCCATATTCAGGGGAGGACTTGAGCTTTGGCAGAATCCACGTTGCTGGAAGTCCAAACCTGTAAGTCAGGGCTCGACAAATGTCTTGGCTCCTGGGATTTGTGAGCGGTTCCCTCCAAGATGGGTGGCCGGCTGTGCGTACTGTAGACGGGCAGCGATGGAACTATGATGTCCCTGCTCTGCTCTGTCATGATGCAGGGGCTGGAATATGACATCACTTTGGCCTGACATCACTAAGTGGTACGTGGGCGAGCAGTGAACTGCCTGCCTCCATTCTCATCCAGTCAGCCTGTGGCGAAAGTGACCTCGCGACTGGTTGTTGGAGGGGCCTGTTTGCCCGCCTCATACCTCGTGAATATGGCCCCTGGGAGATTGTGCCCTTTAACAACAGTCTTGGGGCTTATGGACTTCTATTGGACTGTTTATTGCCCTTTAAGAACTGCATTTGGGGATTATGGACTTGTATTGGACCGTGCTGGCCCTTTAAGAACCGCCTGGGGACATATTGAGACTTTGTATGACAATGCGCCTTTAAAGCTATGCCCCCAAACCTTTAAAATCCTTTGTGCATGGCTTTCTCCCACTTGGTTCAGTAAATGTTCATTTCGAATGGTTGTCATTCGTCTGTTTGAACTGACTTTAACATGGGAAATAGACCGGCCGCACAGCCTGAATCTCTGGAACTGTTTTGGGCATGAAAATGTGCTTGCGGTCAGTCAGAAAGGACTTCCAGTTAACTTTTTAACCGCTGGAGGGATTTGTATGATTTTTGAGTGTTCATATTTGAAGTATGTTGAGTAAGAATGTGATTTTTATGAAGATAGAGGATTTTGTGGCAATGAATGGGAGTGTTTGACTATATGTTACGTGTTTGGTTGTTCTTAAAAACCCTGTGGGCGGTTCTATGTGTAAAATGTGCATAAAAGCAGAGTGTTTCATTAAAACTTCAGTTGTTCTTCACCCTCGATCTAGAGTCCGGTCTCTTATTGGGGAATTGCTATATCACTACAAGGGATTGCTATGCTCTGCATGCTCCATTGGATAATCACTTCTAAGTTACACAGCCACCCACTAAAATCTATAATAATAGTGTGTGTGTCTGTCAGTTAGTGTGGTTACCAGCCCCCCTCAGATCGCATGGGAATGGTGTTTTTAAACATCTTTTCCCCACTGCTAATCCAACCACTTTGGCTGATATCATCAAGCTTGATTATCTCAGTGTTGGGGATAAAATCAGCCCGGGCCCTTTGTGGATGATGGATATTTGCCAACTCATACAGAGCTCTGGAAATTGGAAATGAATAGCAGAGACGTGTTCAATAACCAATTCAAATTTTAATTGATACTTCAGTTATATTTATACCCCATTTTCATGTCGGTGGGGGTCATTGAGCATTGTGACATAGTTTATTTTTCACAAGTTGTTTTTAGTTATAATTCGATGTTACATAATGTATACATATTGGATAAAACCCAGATGATTACAAATACCGAAATCAAATACCGACAATTAACAAGGTCATTCCAGAATCCTTGTCATGTCATGTCATGTCATGTAAATAACCTTTTCCAGGAACATAACAAAATCATATTCCAATAACATTTCCCGTAAATAGATAAGTCATTGTGACATTATGACAGATAAGTCATTGTGACATGAGATACAATTCCAAATTTATTCTTGGTTCAAATTAACCCTTATATGAACAGCTAGGATATTGAGCAAAATGGATATTCGCATCTACACTCATCCAATCCAATGCTTTCCCATAGGAAAGTATTGGAAAGCTATTATGCATGCACTGCAAAATGCTGCACCAATCAGCATCTCTGCATAGAGATACATTGAATCAATAAAATCTATGGGGAACGTTCAGCGCCTTAATGCAGAGAATATAGACACCTGAATGTAGGTGCTGTACAATGTGCAGCTCTAAGATGCAAAGCACTTTAGTGGCCCTCTGGGTGACTCTCTCTACAGGTGTCATTAGGCAGCAAAATAAACACTGCTTTTTTCTCTGCATGGACAGGTTATATACACCAAAACCACTATATTAAGCTGATGTGGTTCTAGTGATAGTAGTGTCCCTTTTATGTTGTATGGAAGCTGACATCATGGCTAAGTAGAAACAGGTCTGCATGGTTTAAAAAAAATTAAATTAAAAAAAAACACCTGCCACTTTAGTCCCAGACCTAATTAGCAATAAGCAACTCAGTCCATGACATCTAGCAGGTTCAGCAATAATAGAAATAAAATTTTCCAACTGATGTTCAGATTCAAATCATGCTATTTACAGCCTGCATCTCTTTTTATAATGTTTAGTAATGAAGCATTTTTGCCATACCTCCCCTACAATTCAGACATACAGCATTTGTGCATTGTAGGACCAATCATGTATGGGTTTATTCAGTAAACATAGGATTGTGGAGAGTTGCAAAGAATCTAATTCTTCCTGTTTGGCTATTTAGGCTTTGTGGCGAAACCGCTGCCTGATCTTGAATTTCCCTTTTTATATTGTGTTTCCATATCCTTTCGTGTATTGTGCCCGCTCCACGTTCGGGAGTGCGTCCACGAAGGGAATGAATTCTCCTCCCGAACGGGGATCACCCGATACCTCATTTAGAATGCTAGGTTAGAACATTCTCACCTAGTAACATAAGTGTCAAACCGCAAGGGAAACCATTAATGAACCCTCCCCTGGTTGGCCACCATTTCGTTAGACGAACGCCAACCAGGGGAGCGTTTGTGGATTGTTTCCCAGCTCATTCATTCCCCGGACGAGGACCTCCCCAGCGCTCCGTTGGAACGTTCACACCAATTAATCAGAATGTTTGAAATTGCAACATAGGTGTGAAATGGCAAGGGAAAATGAATGCTCCCCGTGGGTGGTTGCCATTCGTGCCTACGAGCAGCGGTCAGGTTGAGCATTCGTATCCCGAAAGGAGACGCTTCCCTTTTCTAGGTTTTACACGGGGACTTCGCGAACTGAGGCTAGTCGAGAGAGGAGCCGTTGTGCGGGTCCCTGAGATTGATGTGGACACTTGTGGGGCACTGGCGGGTTTAGTGGGCTTTCCTGTGCCTGAGGGGCAAAGGGATGGTCCCCTTTTCCCACCCCTGGACTCCCAGGCACAGAGGCTCGTGGGAAGAAGACCCCCTGGCGTCTGGTGTGGGAAATACTGTGTTATAGTGGCGGGCTTTGGGGACAAATGGAACAGACTCCTCCTACCCTAGGGCCCCTGGGATCCTGGGATGTGACCCTGTACTGTTGTGTGGGAGACACCTTGCATGGGGATATACATAAGCCGCGTATGGTCAATACAATTGTGTTGTATCTCCAGGATGTGTGTCGTCCAGTTACTGTGGGGAAATGGTCTCTTCATACTCTAGGTGGTTCCTGACCAGCTGAAGAAAGGGACTTAGTGGAGGTAACCGGTCGGGTTACCTGTGGTCTGCTACAGGCTTGATATTAGCCATTTTGTTTGTTGGACTAAATCACGAGTTGTAAATAAGTCCCACTGCCCTGCACGCCATAATTTGCTTACTTATCGCACATAGTTTTTATACAATAATGTCAATTCCTGAAAGAACAAAGAACATAAAAAATGTTTTGGGAATTTGTTGTGTTTTTCTTGCTGTACTACTTTTGCAACCCCAGATTACCAATGATTTTATATTGCTGAGCTATAGTTTATTATAAACATGTCAAGATTCAGCTTCTAGTTGATTTGAAAAGCTTTTTTGCTTTTGTTGCCTTTCTATAACTAAGTGTATTTTATTTTCTGATCTGTTTCTTTCTTGTAGGAAGTGGAGACCCTCACTTCTCATTGGAGCCTTTACATTAACTTGGGTGGATTCGTGGTTGGGATCTTTTCTGTGATGCTGCTTGGCCCTTGGAGTGACAGTGTGGGACGGCGTCCTGTTCTCATCCTTCCAGGCTTTGGCCTGGCCCTGCAAGCAGCTATCTACCTTGTAGTCATGTACCAGAAGCTTCATGTGGGATATTTCTTGCTCGGGCGCATCATCAGTGGTATCTCTGGTGACTTCAATATGATCCTCGCAGGTTGTTTTGCATACATTGCAGATGTCAGCAACCGGCAGTCACGGACCTTCCGTGTTGCCATCCTTGAGGCATGTCTAGGCATTGCCGGAATGGTAGCTAGCATTATTGGAGGACAGTGGCGCGAAGCCCAGGGTTACATCAATCCATTTTGGCTGGTTTTTGCTGTGAATCTTGTCACTGCTCTATACGTATACCTCTGTGTCGGGGAGTCTGTTAAGGAAAAGAAGCCATCAAGACTTTTTACTCCGCGGCACTACCAGTCAGTATTCCGTCTTTTCACAGTGGCAGGTGAAAACAAGCGACGTGGAAAGTTGTGCCTATACTTACTGGCTTTCCTACTAGTGGTAACCGTGCACATGGGTGCCAAGGACCTGTTTGTGATTTATGAGCTCAGTTCTCCCCTCTGCTGGCACTCTGACCTGATTGGATATGGCTCAGCGGCAGAGCACCTCACTTACCTTAGCAGTCTTGCCGGGCTGCGACTCTTCCAGTTGTGTCTGGCAGATAGCTGGGTAGCAGAAATGGGGTTCCTCTCCAATATTGCCGGGCTGGTTGTTATTTCATTGGCTGCAACCACTCCAATGATGTTTACAGGTGACGTATGACATTTAAAAAATATATATAATTTTTCCTCTATTGCTGAACTCCAGAAAAGGGTTTTTAGAGTATAACTGACCCTCGTATGTAAGATATATTATGGCAAATTTATTTGGATGACAGTTCCCAGTAGAAATTAATGGGATTTACAAGCACACAGTTACCACCGACTTTCCTTGAAGTCGCTGAGAAGCTACAGTAAGTATTATTGAGCAGTTTGCAATAATTCCTACAGGGAAATAGACTGCCTAAACTTCATGACAAATTCAACTCTCTAACACCTAGAAAGTTTCTGGGATAGGGTAGCCCTAAAATATCACTGAATCATAAAGTCAAAACAAAGGTTTAGGAAAAATTACAGAGTAGCAATGTGACTAAAATGCAAGCATGTTTTCTTAAAGCGACGCTCCACTACCCAAATGAAAAAAAAAACCACACAAACTATTTAGTAGATCAATGAAAAGATGCATGCATTTAAAATATCCTTGATAAAGCTGCAAATCTGCTGTCTGCAGCCTTTGCAAGTCCCCCATTTCTTCCCCAGACCGGACTTCCTGTGGCTGTCAAATTAGACTTCCCAATGCAGCTTAATGCGTGGAAGGTTCTCTGGGCAATTGTCTGCTTCTTAAGTTTAGCTCCACTAAGCTAAACTACCAGATGTGTGAACAAGGTTAATTTTATACAAGTGCCAATTTCGGTTGCAATCAAAATGAGGGGTTGGAGAGGACAAACTCTTCACACTCAAAGAAATTCAGAAAGTTGAAGTGCTTTAGGTGTATGATATTACAGGAAGAAGATATCATATAGACATATGTGGTCACCAACTGCATCATCACATCTCATGCATTCCTTGGTCTTGAAATAACACTGCTGGTTATTTGAGAATTAGCAATATGTGTTAAATGTTAAACAAGCAAAATGTTGCATGAACTGCAATATTTCTCCAATTCTGCTATGTTTGCAATTTGAAATTTGGTCTTAAATTTGCATTTATATTTTCGTTTCACCACAGTTCAGCAGTCGGTAAATAAACACTCAGTGGTCCTACAGATTTTTTACATCTAATTTTTTTTTTTTTTTTTTTTGGTCATACTGCTTGTGTAACCTTTAGTTAGTATCAAAACATGGCTGAGGGGCCACCCTTCCTGGCCTATTCTAGGAGACCTTCAGCACATACATTTTAATTCCTTGGGTTCATACCATACCCAATGAATTAGTCAGTTCTACTAATCCCTCTCATTGTCACATTAAACTGTTTCCCCTCTTGCACTTTTCTAGATATATTCATTAATTAAAGAGGCACTGTCATGCCGAATCCCGTTTTTTTTTTAAACCCCCCTCCACTACATCCAATTGACCCACTAGTCACCCTCAAATGCCCCTAAGCCCCCCACATTACCTATTTTTTAATCCTTATTTTCTGCCCCGATCTTATTCAGGGCGCCGCCATCTTTGTGTGGGTAGATGAAGTCCCTGTGGGACACGTCATCAGCCCACACTAGACAGACTGTGAGATTCCCGCACATGCCCAGTGAAACACCTGGACATGCGAACGGGAATTTCATCCATTCATTCATTCATCAGACAGACGAATGAGTGAATAGAAAGATCAGCCGAACAAACTAACACAATGTATCTGTGTATCAGTGTTAGTTTGTTCGTTCAGTTTATTACAAGGAGGGAGCTACCGGCGTGCAGCTCCCTCCTTGTAATATGTAATTATAGAAGCGGCAGGGAGCAGTGCTCCCCACCACTTCATAAGCCCCCCAGGTCCCCCTCTCACTCTATGGGGGTCAATATGACCCCCATAATAGCACAAGGGAGATTAAAATCTCCCAAATGCCCCTACTCGCTATACCGCCTGTGGCTGCTCACTGTTGAAAAAAAATGGCATAAATTACAATAAGGAGGGGGTACCTTCTGTCCTCCCCCCGGCCCCCACCCCTGAGCGGTGGGTGGGGGCCCTAAATAAAGATATGGGGGGGAATTTCTGTCCCGGCCCCCACCCCTGCGCGGTGGGTGGGGGCCCTAATAAAACAATAAGGGGGGGGGACCTACTGTCCTCCCCCCTGGCCCCCACCCCTGAGCGGTATAGCGAGTAGGGGCAGATTATTTACTAATACTAAGTAATCTTTACTTAGTATTAATAAAGTTGGCTGAAAGACCAATTTAGGTCTTTCAGCCTTTTAGTAGATAACTCCCTGATACCGTGGGAATTAGGGAGTTATCTACTAAGCGGCTGCAAGATGCAGCTGCGGCAATGAATAGGATCGGAGTTTCATTCATTAGAATGAAATTCCGATCCGAATAAAATGCCGAATTGCGTTCTAAAAGAAACGAACATACTGTTGTCATTCAGTTAGAACGCAATTCGGCAGTTTAGTGTAAAGTGACATGAAGCATCGCGGGAACACAGAGGGAAGGTGAGAATCATGGGAAAATTGCTCTGACCAGCGGAAATGAAGCACACTTTGCTCCTCCGCTGGTCAGAGCTGGTCAAGCGGAGGAATCCTCCATAAGGCAAAGAGTCCCTACTTTGTCTTATGATTTTAAAGAAAACTAAAGAAGACAGGAAGAAAAGAATAACAGATCCTGAGAGAGGGGGAGAAGAGGAAGAGATTGAGGAAAGGTAAGTTCGGCATGACAGTGCCGCTTTAAACTTCTTTAGAAATAACTGTTAACCTAGCCTTGATGTCAACATAAATGTTCTTATCTCCATAAAAGTTTTGTGTATTTTCTTTTTCTTTTTAGGGTATGGGTTAAGGTTCTTTGCAATGGCCACTACACCAATAATTCGGTCTAAGCTGTCTAAATTGGTGGACGAAGGCGATCAAGGTAAGATCTCCTCTCGATTATGCAACCAGAATATATTCATAATTCTTGTCATAGTTTGTTAGCCAAAGCGCCAAAACACTTTGTATTATTGCTATTGTGCTATTAAAGTTTGTTCATATCACTTATTCCATATTGTGTGTGTGTGCTCACACCCAATAGGGAAGGCTTTTTCTGCTTCCCTGGAGAGTGACCCAAACTGAGTTCTGTGTATGCTCAGTCACTGCTAAGACACAGCATAGTTAACCAGGCTGTGTATCACGGAATAGGGTTGGTGTGGTTGCCATTAGTTTTAAAAATCAGTTCACATATTCCTGTGCAATGCTTTAACCCCTTAAGGACACGACATGTGTGACATGTCATGATTCCCTTTTATTCCAGAAGTTTGGTCCTTAAGGGGTTAAACTGTTTGGGTATTAACTACTTATTTCATAATTTCCAGTCCAGTGGAGTATTATGGGGTAAAACATGTCGTTGCCTCCCATACACTAAAATGAGATGCTCCTGATAGGAACGTCTCACCCTGGTCTGCTTATGGTTTTCCTTTAAAACGTTGCATTTTGTGTGGTTGCTCGTGCTTAAAAATAGGTTTGGCGATGGTCACACTTGTGTGAGATGGTTTCATTTCCTTACTCAGGAGTTCTTCTCTGACTTTCTCTGTAACTGGACTACTTGCTACTTTCTAGTTAAAGTGTCTATAACGGAAACAATTTTTGCATGTCTCGTGTTATACAATTAACTGCTTCTTCCCTGAATACTGAAAACTTGTAAGTTTATTGATTTCCATTACCCCATTATGTTTCAGTGGGTGTTACACTCCTGCATACCCCCTGTTTGGGAAGCACAGACTTGCTTTCCACTAAGTCTCCAACACTTTATGTTGACTATATGTAAATAAAATGTATCTGTTTTTCTGTCTCCATTCTATGATTGCCTGCCCAAAGCCACTGTAGTAAATCATTTTTCACTCTCCATGCTGGTGCTGCTCTGACACAGAGCCTGCCTCTCCCTATTGCTTCCCTGTGCAGGCATTGCTTCCCCTTAGGCTGAATTCAGGTGAGCAGGCACGCTCAAAGGAGGGTTTACCTAGTATCAGACATGCATAGCACAGCCTTCTTATATCTGTGCCAGTTGGCACAGATGGAACTGACTGAGAGGGCAAGGCTGTTTCTCGACATCTGATTTTATAGTAATCTACACATTTATAAGCAAATGTATGGATGAAATTTGATTCTCTCATTTAAAAATAGGTATTATTGGCATGTACCCGTTACGGCTTAAACATCAGATATGTTTTTGACGCTACAGATCCTTGTTTTCCATTAATCAAACTAATTTATCATGGTTTTGGTATCCTGCAACAATGCCATCAAATTACCATTATTACTAAAATACAACTTTTGTTTGTTTGTGGTGTCTATAACCGCAAACACACAAAATGCAAAGCTTGTACTTTGTGTGTGGGGCACAGTGACCTTGTTCTATGCGGACTGATCTCCTTGGCTACTCTTATGTGTTGAAACCTGGTCTTGGTACTGTGCATTGCCTTTGTTCCAGGCGGCCAGTTCAATAGATAACATGTGATGCTACTCTATGTGGAACCTTGTCTGTTTGTAGCACTGCTCATGCTGGGTCTCTTTTTATATTTTTGTTCCATAGGTGCATTATTTTCCTCTGTGGCATGTGTGGAAGGCCTGTCCTATTTGCTGGCAACTGGGATATTTAACTCTCTGTATCCAGCAACGCTTCACTTTATGAAGGGTTTCCCCTTCCTGCTAGGTGGTCTTTTACTGCTGATCCCAGCTGGAATCATTGGGTAAGTATCACATGTCCTTCTACTTTGTTTCAATATATGTAAAAAACATGTACAGGTATCTGCTCCTTATTGATGGATCCGAATAAAAGCTCTAGGCAGAAGTGATATGGTATTTCATCCTTCTGGTACTGAATTAGAAAGCCAGGCAGGAAAACAATGGTGAGCTTGGAACAGTCTCTACTATTGTGGTATGCAGACACATTCTGCTTTCGGCTACTAACCACTGGCCACCAGAGGCAGTACTGCACACTTCCCAGTCTCCTCTGTGTGCAAAGGTGCACAACGGGGATAGAAGAATTGGTTCTATTTAAATTGAAGGTATGTTTGTTCATGGATTTATCAAAATGAGTGTTTGCGTGTTTTACTTGTACAAATGAAAATCCATAGTTGATATTCTTTAAATGACTTTGCATTAGGACAAACAAACCAAGATCTTTTTTTATTTTTTATTTTTTTTTTAGGATAATTGAAGTATGCGACCAGAAACCAATGTACAGTCAATTCTCAGAGATTTCGTGAGTCTAAATCAAGGAAAAGAATATGAAAATGTCTGGATCCATGGTGGAAAAATTGCTTGAAGAATGAGTACTTTCGCGGTACCCGTTCCTTGCTTCACTCTTAAGCACTTCCAAATCAGTTGTTGCACAAATAGGAAAAATTTGTCTTGAGGAGGATGAGCAAATCTTTTTGACACATTTAATGACTGTAATCTAAATAATTCTATGTGATACCAAGCATAGTCCACTAGCACTTTCAACGTAGGAGACATGTGTTGTGTGCAGTCCAACGGTCAGCTCTCCAGCTACTGTGAAGATATATGTGTATATATCCCAAAATACTTTTGCCAACCAATAGCTTTCATGACATCATGGGCGGTGTTATCTGGTGGATATCCCTATCCTCTGCTAATATATTTTACACACTAATGAAAACTTGAAAAATTTAACAGTGAAGAGTATTATTCTACCCTTAATTTCTAAACAGGATTAGCCAGCAAATAGTCATACAGCTTTTATCAGAGTCAAGCTCCCATGATGCTTTGGAGGCTGTTGGCTATCCCTCTTCTGCAAAGTTATTGTAATCACAATGCAGCATAGTAGAGTCTGCCATTGTCAGAAATGTTCAGTGTAGCGACTGTCTAATGTGACACTAAATCTGCTTGAGTAAGGTTGTTTGCTTTATCTCCTTGTAAATTCTTTTTACTGCCAAATGTGTTTGAGCCCATGTGTAGGAGGCATAATATTTTATGAGCTGTCTGTATGCAATGTATGCATAATGTGAAATTTGAATACATTCTGTGGATACTATTGGTGTTTAGATTAACAGATTGTGGGGTTTCTGTTATAATATTGTACCACTTAGTCTGAAATAGCAGACTTGGAATATTTAAACAGTGAGTTGGGAAGTAGGTTTTTTTGCCCTCCTAGCTCCTCCAACATTGCTGTTTTTGCTCTGCCTTTCTGCTACCCAATTAATGTCCATTCACTGCTTCGTGAGCCAACCAATCAAAGTGAGAGGTGGAAGTATATGCAATGCATCTCCCCTTCCAGATTAAATTTAAATTGAGTGACTGTTGTACTGAATGTGGAAACATTGTAGGCAGCATATTTGAGAATGTATACAGCTTCTTCATGCCGCATGAATGCTTTTTCTAATCTACCCCCGTGCTGTCCATGAATTGTGGAGTTTGCAATCTGAAGCTTACAGCAGTAATATTGTGCCTTTTTTACTCCTTTTGTTTCAAATAATTACTGATTCAGTGTTTTTTATATAGCAGAATTTCATTTTGTAGCTTTTATTTTTTTTCCTATTTTTGCAAATTCAGCATTTTGCTTTACATCCCCCGAATGAGTATTTCATGAAGATTAAAATCTCTTTTAATATTTCATAAAAATAAAATTTCACTGAAATTCCAACTCAGTCAAAAGATATCTGAAAGAAAAGTAGGGACTACTTTGACTTCTGCATCCCATGCCTGACAAAACTTGACAAAATGCAGAGCTGCCACTGTCTTTTTTTTTTTATACTTCTGGTTGTGAGGGAAAAGGGCATTTTCTATGAAGGTGGAAGCTCCATAGACAGCACTATTGTACTCTAATACGTGCATGAGAGTACAGCACTGACGTGGGCTCCTGGTAGATGAAGTACCAGGAGCCGATGAGAATCACCACTTCAGTACCTTCCCCTGCACCCCTACGTCACTGCCCTGCAAGTCACCACCAGTGGTCTTTGCATAAGTTGACAGAGCCACTTTAAAGGGACACTGTAGGTACCCAGACCACTTCAGCTCATTGAAGTTGTCTGGGTGCAATGTCCCATATCTCTTAACCCTACAGTGGTAACTCCACCTCTAGTGACTGTTTACCAGACAGCCACTAGAGGGACTTCCTGAATTGAAGCGGACCTTTGGTCCGGTATCTGATGCTGGACGTCCTCACGCGCTGCAAGAGGACTTTAAGCGTCAGATTTTTTCCCCATAGGAAAGCACTAAATTTAATGTTTTTTGTTTTTTTTTGTTTAAATTTCGGGCCTGCTTTAAAGGTCTTTTCAAAGTTCTGTATTTTACCCTCTCATTGCCAAACATGTAAGCACTACATTGCCTTCTTTCTGCTAGTACTGCAGTATCAGCTAGTTAGCCGGGTTCAACATAACTGGGATAAGCATTAACTTTCATCACTCTCAACTCTCTCGTTTTTTTTTGTTTTTTGTTTTTTTTTTATAACCCCTTTCAGCAGCAAGATGTATATTTGCAAACCATTTAAATGTGAACCAAGCAGTTGGTATATCACTGCTATATGTATATATTTTTCAATTTAATATTATTAAATTGACATGTACCCTCAGAGGTGCAGATGTCTTAAAATATCTTAACAATGCAAGTGATTGTTTATTTTTATGTGTTGTGCAAGACACAGATTATTGTGCACCTTGGTTTTGCGTTCTTAATTTAAATTAAAGGGCATTTTCATTGTTGCTTTAGTTGTGGTGTTTTTTTGTTTGTTTTTTTTTTTTTCCCCCTCTTTCATGGTCCAGTAAGCATTGGAGAACAGCAAATTAATTTGAACCTCTGATAATCGCACCTTTTCTAAAGTAAGATTATTATTATTATTATTATTATTATTATTATTGCCATTTATATAGCGCTTTACAATATTATGAGAGGGGGTATTTAACTATAAATTGTTCAACAATAAGTAGCACATCTGGTTCAGAGAAAAAGAAAACACAATTTAGACGACCCTGAACATTTCAGTGTTCTTGAGTAAACTGGGAGGAATGGAAAGTAAACAAGGGAGTTACAAATCTTAGGTTAAAATCACCAACTGAAAGCCTTGCAGATTTGAAAAAATTTCCAACAAGGCTAGCGCTGTACATTGGGTGGACTATTGGACGTACAGGAACAGAAAGGAGGAGGGCCCTGCTCAATGAGCTTACATTCTAGAGGGAGTAGGGTATAGTGACACAAAGTGTAAAAATAGGTTATTGAAATTCACTCAGTTTATTCCCTTAATATACTTGGATATTAAAGCATAGAAAAAATTGGAAATTAAAAAGAAATCATGGAATTGTTTTTAACAAAATGTAATCTAAATGTATTATTGGTAATCAAATTCTTTAATAATTTGTCAATGTAGTAAACAGATGAGGAAAATCCTATTCATGTTTACATCTAGTATATGCCAAATTACATTGTGAGGCAGGTCAAAAAGGATGCCACGGCTGAAACACCAGGAGACTGATGTCCCTTTCTCATTCCATAACTAGGAACAGATGTGCAGAAGAGCAGTTAGAAGGATGTCTGCAAGTTGCAACCACCATAATCAAACTAAACCTAGAGAAATTAGACAAAAAGCAATGTCAAATTTCTCACTATAGAAAGTACACCTATTGTAGTATATGTACAGTTACTTTTCCCCCGTATTTAAAATGCTGGCTGTGTAATATATTAGTGCAGTCGTGGAAGATGCACATGATGTGCTGCCCCAGATGGTTGCAGATGACCGTTCTACCATCTCATCAGGCCTCTTACCACTGTACAGATGTTCAGTTTACCGGTGCAACCATGCTTCACCCTACACAACCATATACAGGAATTTGATGAACTGCTGTTTCCCCTCAATCTACAGGGTAAGAGAAGCCCAACACACCAGGGGTAAAGGTGTACAGCTGGAATAATTCCTGGAAATGCTTATTCAGCAAGTCACATGTCCTCATATTACCCTGCCAGGTGAGATCTTCTTATAGAACGTTAGGATGACGATGACTGTCCAGAAAGGATACATAACTATGAACCAGTCAGTGTTGCCTCATTGTGAATTCAAACCAATGAAAATTATATTTGAAGTTGTGAAATAATAAGCTTGCTTTACCGGTTTGTCTGGTTTATCTGTTCATAATGTAAACACATTAATAGTGATGAAAAGGTTCAGAATGCTGCACAATCAGTCTTCCTGTTCTAAAGAGGTGTGAATGAAATATGGTGTGCATTTATTTTCTAATGTAAATACATAGCTCACTATTGGCTTACTACTCTGTCGACCATTGAAAAAGACAGAACACAATAAAACGTTTGTGTGCAGTGTTTGTATCAGCACACTCCTGCATGGATTTTGCATTGAAGAAAATTATAGATTCTCTTTACGTATTTTACAAGATCTTACCAGGCTCCAGTACTGCCTAGAACTCCAGAAGGTGGGATGCCATTAATATAAAACACTGTACACGTGTGTGTGTGTGTATTTATTATTGTTGTGTGAGGTTTTGTTTGTTGCTCTCTAGTATACTCCTGTTTGCAATACTTTTTCTCCATTCCTGTTTGCACAACGTATTTACTCTCTCCCATGTATGACTGCTCCATTCATTTCCTATTCCCCTATAATGTTTCTCTCCCCATCCCACTTAATTTTATGATCCTTTACTTCTAATTTCTCCTATATACCTGCTCCCACTATTAAAAGATGTTGGGTTACTCATTAAAGAGAAAATTTGGGGAAAATCAAAGTGAATTTTAAATTTGAAGGGATACAATAGTAATCAAAACAATTTTAGTTTAATGAAGTCGTTTTGGTTTATATATCATGCCCCGGCAGTATCATTGCTCATTTGTCTGCCATTTAGGAGTTAAATCACTTTGCTTATGGAGCGCTCCTCACACCTACCTGCATGTAACCTCCTTCCTAAACTCTTACTGCAGAGAGATATCTAATGTTTTGTAATTAATATGTCTAGGTTAATGGTGATTGAAAAAAGTATTTTTATGTATATATCTTAAAGGAACACTATAGTCACCTAACTTACTTTAGCTAAATAAAGCAGTTTTAGTGTATAGATCATTCCCCTGCAATTTCATTGCTAAATTCACTGTCATTTAGGAGTTAAATCACTTTATCTGTTAATGCAGCCCTAGCCACACCTCCCCTGGCTATGATTGACAGAGCCTGCATGAAAAAAAAACAAAAAACTGGTTTCACTTTCAAACAGATGTAATTTACCTTAAATAATTGTATCTCAATCTCTAAATTGAACTTTAATCACATACAGGAGGCTCTTGCAGGGTCTAGCAAGCTATTAACATAGCAGGGGATAAGAAAATCTTAATTAAACAGAACTTGCAATAAAGAAAGCCTAAATAGGGCTTTCTTTACAGGAAGTGTTTATGGAAGGCTGTGCAAGTCACATGCAGGGAGGTGTGACTAGGATTCCTAAACAAAGGGATTTAACTCCTAAATGGCAGAGGATTGAGCAGTGAGGCGGCAGGGGCATGTTCTATACACCAAAACCGTTTCATTAAGCTAAAGTTGTTCAGGTGACTATAGTGTCCCTTTAATGGCTTGCCGTAATATACTTACATATTGCTCAAAAATATTATGCTGAAAATTAAAAACAATACATTTATTCTACCCACAATGAAAACAGCAATACATATGTAAAACTATTAGATACAACTCTGATCATTCAATGATGGAGAAAATTGAGCAGTGAGACTTCAGAGGTGTGATCTATACCAGAACTAGGCAACCTTCAGCAAACGCAGGTTGTTTGGTGATTATAGTGTCCCGTTAAGGCTAAAATAGGTAAACTGTAAGCATGACACATATGGAGATTTCCCACCCCCCCACTTAACTATTTTGGTCTTAAATGTAAAATGTACATTAAATTCCCCAAAATTCTCACTTCAGAGTGAGAATTACCCTGATTGTCTTTTTCGCCTCTCTCCCTCTTCTCTACTCCCTCTCTCTCAGAGACACTTGGTGGGTAGTGTTGACCTCACATGACACACATCAAAGATAGCAGCCTCTCAAGCCTAGCTTTTTCGTTAGCAACAGAGAAATGCACCATAGCTAACAGTATAAACATTCTTCTGATACATCGTTATCTAATTCTTCTAACTACCATGACCTTTGATACACCCCTCCCCACTTGTTTTTCATTCTGCTCTTGGCTAGGCATGCTAAATTAATTAAATCTTGTCTATTTACTTTGCATCAGATGCAATTATTTCAAATTGGTAAAATGGGAAACGAGCAGGAGGGAGTGCTTCTTTGCCTTAAAACATTTGCATTCATGGAAAAATCACAGGTGTTCCAGAGCAAATTATTACATTTGAAGATCATTTCTATAATTTTCCATGGTCATTTTTACTTATCCAGCACATAAAGGGACACTATAGTCGCCAGAACAGCTTAGTGTAGTAGTTCTGGTGTCTAATTGAAAAGGCCTGCAGGGCCATGAAGTAAACACTGCCTTTTAAGAGAAAATGTAGTGTTTACATTTCTGCCTTGATATACCTCCAGTGACTCAGACGGCAACTAGAGGTGCTTCCTGGGCCCGTGCTGCACAACGTCCAACACTGACAATCTGTGTCGCCACAGTCTGCATGGAGACGCTGAACTTTCCCCATAGAGATGAATTTCTATGAGAAGATGCTGATTGGCACAGTGCAGCATTTTACCACGCATGCACAATAGTCTCCGAATGCGCGAAGACGCCAAAGCAATCTATGAGGATCACTCTACTATGCGTTTCGTAACACTGCTCCAACTTCATCAGGGAATACTCGGCATTAAATGTCAGAGAAAGGTGTTAAGTGTGTATTGATTTTGTTTGTGTGTGAGCTTAGCTTTGTAAGAAGGTATTGATCTTTTGTAATTATTTTATCTGTGTTCCATTGCTGTACAACAGAAAATCAAAGCACATTGATGTCAATGAATGTAGGAATACAAGAAAAAAAAAAAGCTGCTGAAATAAGCTTACTGTGCAAGTTTACATATTGACAGAAGACACTTGTAGTAAAATTTAATATGCCTAAGCAAACCGAAAAGCTGACATCAGCTGGGACTGGTAAATTAAGTAGAATAAACTCCATAAGATTACATACAGTTGTAATCAAAATGATTCAACCCCCTATTGAAAATCGGGCATGGTGTCAAGTGTACAGGCTTTCAGCTGTTTGCAAGACAAATCAAACAAAAGCCATTGAAATAGCTCAACACAACCAATGCGTCAAGTGGTTTCCCCAAATTCAACTGAAAAAGCATCTTATAATGTCTTCTCCAGTCTCAAAATTATTCAACCCCTTCATTGCAAGCACCTGTAGTACTTGGGTAGAGCAGGTTATGACTTGCTGCAAATAAGATGCATAACCGTACACCAGCTTCTGGCAGTGTTTCTGAGGAATGTAAGCCCATTGCACGTCATCAATGGTCTCCAGTTGATTAATATTATTGGGTTTTGGTGCTGCAATCGCCTTCTTCAAATCCAACCAGAGATTGTTTATCTCAAGTCAGGTAACTGTGATGGCCTCTGTAGAATTTTCCAGGACTGTATGTAGGATAAAACATATTCTCTGCATTTTTTCCTTTGACCCACTAGTAATGTTTTTTTCTGCTTTAGCCTTGTTTTAATATTTTTAGGTAAACTTTTCAAATGATTTAATTTTTTTTTTTTTTTTTTAAAGATGGTTTTATACATTG